TTATATATATATATAAAATATATATATATATATATATATATATATATATATATAAAGGAACATCTAATGTTGGCACATCATGCATCATTAGATATAATAAAATGGGCATTGCTCCACTGCACTGTGGCAATTAAAACTAAACTCTAGAGATGCCTGTCATATGAAGCTCTTTGGCATCATTTACCTTCACCAGTATTAATATTTCAGTATCGTTTACCACTACTAAGTTTTATGATAAATAATGTATCAGCCCCGCTGGCTGCAAAAACATCAGCAATATTAAATAAAGTGCATGAATACACACACAGGTACGGTAGACAGTACAGATTTCCAGAAACATTGCATTGTGAAGATATACTCTGCGTCCCAATGTGCATACTATCCACCCTATATGCCCTAAATAGTATTGAAAAATACTAATATCACATAGAATTTAGGATGGATAGTATGCACATTGGGACTCAGGCATATAGTTTATGAATGCATGTAAACATACAGGACCCTAGAAGTGCCTCCTGGAAAACTATTATGGGAAGAAAAAAAAACAGCTGACTTTTGGTGCTCCCAAGATTTGCAGAATAATTAATGGAATCGCTTCCTTGCAGGGTGGACAGGAGAAACACAGGTTTTCCTGTGCTTACTTGCTTGACTAATTCATAGAATTCAGGATATCTAGCTGTTAATCTGATAATCGCTCACTTTTAATATTAAATCTAGTTTTATGTTATTAATTGCATTTCTGTTCCATTTTTCAGAATATCTCGTCCAAGCGCTTTTATTTTGAAAAACTGCATTTCCGGCGGCTCTCTTGGGAATCTTGCTCTGGTCGCTGCCTTCACACTGCTTATCAAGACTAGGGTCCGACATCGCCACTCTCGCCATGGCAGGTAACTTGGCGAGTTTATGAGCTGCTCAAGCAAAGATTGTATGAAATCTATTATATTATAGCAATAGCTTCTATTTGTTACAGTGAGCGCAGCGGTTGTACTGAAGCCATCATCGGCATTACTGATCCGCTGACAGTAGCCTAGCCTCTTAGCTGCCTCGCTTCCCTCCAGGTAGCCAGCAAATCGGCAAAACTGATTTCGATCGGGCTTTATTCAAAATGTGACGATCATTTGAGTACTGAGGCTGCTCTGTGATCATGAGTGGCCCAGAGCGCAGGGTGTTTTAGTGATGAGCTGCATTTGCGTGGAAATCCGCCCGGATAAACCCACTCAGCATTTGTTAACGGGATGCGCGGTCGGGCTAACGTTACGTGGGTTTTGATGTCAGTTGTAAAAATGAATGGGCATTGGGTAACGTGTTCCGCTTCTCTTTCTCTGTGTATATGTATCCCCTGGCCTGGTGTATACATGTGCTCGACATCTCGGCCTCTTTAAATCACCTCCATTAAAGTAGCGAAATTTAACCGGCATCTGCAGTCATGTGCAGTCACACCGCTGCGTGCTTCCCTCCGTGAAAACCACCACCATCCGCAGCGATGAAAATCCTCAATATGCTGCTGGTTATGAGATTTCAGTCCATCGGACTAATTCACAGAACAGAATCGTACAGATCAGTCGTTACGCTACGGGGTGGGAGGATTCACTTTGCACTGATTGAAAAAAAAAATCAACCCTCCACAGACATAATTATTGTCCATTATGGGTTTAATTACATATTTGTGAGATATGTCTGTGTGTATGTATGTGTATATATATATATATATATATATATATATATATATATATATATATATATATATATATATATATATATATATATATATATATATATATATATATATATATATATATATTATGTATTTGAAAGTGTGTGTGTGTATATATTTATTTATATATATATTCATCATATCATTTATTAGTGCTGTCAAACGATTAATTAATCGCATGCAAAAAAAGTTTTTGTTTGCATAATGTGTGTGTTCTGTTTATATTTATTATGTATATATAAATACACATACATTATATATTTTGAAAATATTTACATGTATTTACATGTCTATATTTATATTCATATAATTTATATTATAAATGAATATATTTAATATAAACAACATTTTTCTGAAATATATAAATGCATGTGTGTGTATTTATATATACATAATAAATATACACAGTACACGCATGTTATGCAAACAAAAACTTTCATTTTGCATGCGATTTAATCGCGATTAATTGTTTGACAGCACTAATATTTATATATATTTATTTTCATTTATGACTAAACGTATGTAGATTTAAAAAATAAAAATAAAAAAAACTTCCAAGAAATTGTTCAGATACTGTCAGAAATGCTCTCAAACGTCTCTTTCTCTCTATATAGCCAAGTGAATAATTTGTAAGTTTGAACAATTTCTAAAAATGCTGCCTTTATTGTATTTACTGTAAATTGGCTGGCTTGTTAGTAATAGGATAAAGAAAAGTACTGTTTTTATATTTAAATATTTGAGAAAAGTCCTGATGACCTATGACATTAATTTTGTACTTTTAAGTTTACATGAAATTAGGGCTGCAAAACGATTAATCGCATTCAAAATAAGTTTGTTCACATACTATATGTGTCTGTACTGTGTATTTATTATGTATATATAAATACACACACATATATGTATATATTTTAATATATTTGTATCTATATACATTTATACTTGTATATAATTTATATAATCTAACATGTTTTTCCTTAATATACACATGTATGTGTATATATACATAATAAATATACACAGTACACATACATACAGTTGAACTTTTATTTTGAATGCAATTAATCGCGATTAATCGTTTTGCAGCCCTACATGATATTTTGGTGGAGTAAAAAAAAAAAAAGTAATTTTTTCCTTGTAAATGTAATTAAGAAAAAGATCATTCATTCCATCATTTTAAGTAAATTGTATGCTTGATATAATCATTTGTTCCCTCCTATTGGTTTTAACAGAACTCTAGTAAAGTAACAATTTCTCAAAATGATACTCAAGTATAGTAGTGAAGTACTCTACTCAAATACTGTTCACCTCTGCTAGCCTTGTAACTCATACGAGGGCGGTTGTTGTTCCTCTTATTGGGTCTCCTGACGTCACTTGTCTCGTGAACAAGTGACTACCAGTTTGGCGCTGCCTCAAACGGCCACTCGGGAGTTGCCTCAGCCCATTTCTCCTCTCATTAAAAAAATGATGCAAGAGCTGTCATTTAAATTTGATATGGATTATTGCGATTGTAGACAGTATTTTCATTGTTTTCTTTTTTGTGTGATGAAAGGGCAAATTTTAGTCAGATGAGAATGTGCTGCCTTATTTCCTACTATGAATTCCTACTGTGCATCTTTCTTGTAGTACTACTCTTATATTTTTGTTTGTTTGTTGTCATACAGAATGATGATTTTTAAATCAAATCCAATACTAGAGAATGTCAGCAAATTGACCGTTCACAAAGAGCTTGATTGACAGGCGATCTGACCACTCAGAATGCGGAAATTATGTGCCGCTGCTGCTATCCGCCATCTTGCCCAACATCTATGGCCGGTCTCCATAGAAATCCATGTTAAAACCATAGACTGTATAAAAACATGGACATAGTGTCCGTGACGTCACCCGTAGATTTCCGAAGAGCGTTTTTGAA